ACTTTCTTTTCCCAAATTTTTAGAATTTCTGAGAGATGTTAGTATACCTAATCTGAAATGGAAAATGCTCCAAAATCCAAACCTTTGAGTGCTGACATTACATTCTTGTAGCATTTCAGATTTTCAAATTAGGGACAGTGAACCAGTAAGAATAATGCAAATGTTCCAACATCTGAAACACTTCTGGTCCCAAGTATTTCCAATAAGGGTTACTCAGCCTGTATTTCCACATGTCAGCTTGATATTTTTGAGGCCATTCTTGGTGACCAGAGTATTTTTCGGTTCAGTAATAGTCTATTCTTTTAGTGTTGTGTTTAGTGTGTAGATATTACCCTGGATTCTAAGTAATTCCTGTTGTTCTTAAAGATGCATGTTAAGTCACTGTCATTGTTTTGTGTGTAGTTTTTTGAGGGCCTTTACCCTTGTCTAGGCAGCCAAAAGCAGCCTGAATAAATACTTGCACACGAGTGTCTTCAATCCTTTAATCATGTATTATTAGTCCCCATGACACACTGGATGCTCAGATTCAGGACTTCACCAAAAGCTTGGATCAGATACTAGCTTTCAAACCATTTTTTTATTGCAAGGCACAGTAAAAAATGTTCACTAGTACATACATAATACTCATTTTTCTTTGAATTATACTTATCTTTCTATATGCAATGGGCTCAGTTTTCTATTCTCTTCTCTTCTTTTTAATATTGGGTATATAGGTTGGGCCTATCACACAAAATCTAGTCTCATCTTCATCTATTCCTTATTGTTAATAGCACTATAAAGTGTACTCCTGGAGGAAAATTCATTGCATTTCTCTTAATTCAAAATACTGCTCCTGCAATTTGAGTGTGTGGCCACAAGGTGTCAGTAATGTATCATAGGTCTATAGTTACAAGAAGCCTGGAAGAGACTGGTATGTTAAGCTCCCTCTTTTTTTTTTTTGTTTTTTTTCATATTTATGGGTTTTTTCTAAATAAAACTTATTATTTAGTAATATATTAAGTACAAATAATGGTAAAGCATAATATTTGAGATCCTTTAAATACAGCTTTTGAAAGTAAATATTTAGGGCGAGAGGCTGAGGTGAGAGGATTATCTTAGCTCAGAGGTTCAAGACCAGCCTGGGCAACTTGGTGAGACTTTGTCTCTACAATAAATAGAAAAAATAAACCGGGTGTGGTAGTGCATGCCTGTAGTTCCAGCTACTTGAAAGGCTGAGGTGGAAGGATTGCCTGAGTCCAGCAGGTCTAGCCTGCGGTAGCCGTGAGCAGCATGTCACTGGACTCCAGCCTGGGCGACAGAGTGAGACTTAAAAAAAAAAAGTAAATATTTTAAAAATATTTGTTTCTTTATATTTGATTTCTTAGTCTTTTCCATTTTGATCTTATACTGGGTGTTGAAAGAGAGAATGGATTAGACTTTCTGCATATAGTTTATCAAATGAATGTTCCCAGTTCTTTTCTCAGTTCTCTAGGTCTTAGGTATGTTTAACTGAATTACTTAGATTTTTTAAAAATTGCATTAGTTCATTTAGTCCTCAGAGACCCAGAAAACTTAATAATTTGTCATTTTATTCACCTTCTTTGGCAGTTTTGCAGGAGTATTTTCAAAAACAGGGTTTAAAGGTGTAAAACAGGAAAATCCTAAACAATTAAACAGAGCAACCCCCCCCCCCGGTAGTTGGCACTTTTAATAATTCTTGAGATTTATTATTTGTTGTAACCAACCATCCATATATTATTTAAACTATGGGAAAATATGTGTTTCCTCTAAATCTACCTGTCTTGATATCCTTCTCTTTCATCTTTTAATACTTTTTAATACTTGGTAAAGAATATGCTGGTATGGATATAAGTAAACTTGGAAGCCCAAGCAGCATAAATTACCAACTACTATGTTCATGTTTGACTTTAACAAGCTAACTGACATATATATTTTCAAACTCTAACCTGCTTATGTTTGCTCTCCTAATAGTTGTATATTCATCCATGCTTTTTTGAGTCTAATAAGTAATGTTATATTTGTTGTTACTTTAAATTTCCTAGCTCTTACATTTCATCAGAGGTGACTACTGAGTGTTATTTCCCAATTAGTATTTATTTAGCATTTTTGTTTCTTCATTTAATGCTGTATGTTTTTGCTTTTGTTTTTTTGAGTCAGAGTCTCTCTCTGTCACCCAGACTGGAGTGCCGTGGCATGCTCAGGGCCACCATAGCCTTGACCTGCTTGATTCAGTTGATCCTTCCGCCTCAGCCTTCCAAGTAGTTGCAGCCATAGGCATGCGCCACCCACAACTGGCTGATTTTTAAAATTTATTGTAGAGATGAGATCTTGCCATGTTGCTCAGGCTGGTCTCGAACCCCTGATCTCAGGCAATCCTCTTGCCTCTGCCTTCCAAGGTGCTGGGATTGCAGGCATGAGCCACCATGCCTGGCCTACTGCTATGTGTTGATTGTACATTATTCTGTACAAAAATCTTGAGTAAAAGAGAAATTAAATAAGATTCTCTATCTTCAAGGGTTTTCAGTTCAATTTCACACGTATAGGTAATGTAATATAAAGATATGTCCTGGATCACATGAGGGACACTAAAAAGATGTCCTTGGAGTTTAAAAGAGAAGAATTCATTTTCATCTTTGACAAAGGTGGGTAGAATTAAAGACAACTTTTGAGCTGGGCACGGTGTCTCATGCCTGTAATCCCAGCACTTTGGGAGATGGAGGTAAAACAATTGCCTGAGCCCAGAGGTTCGAGACCAGCCTGGGCAACATGTCAAGACCTTGTCTTTATAATAAACCAAAAAATTAACTATGTATGGTGGCACACACCTAAGGTTCCAGCTACTGGGGAGGCTGAAAGGGAAGGATCACCTAAACTCAGCATTTTGAGGCTGTGGTGGCCATCAGCATGCCACTGTGCTCCAGCCTACACTCCAGTCTGGGCAACAGAGTGAGACTCCAACTAAAAAATAAATAAATAGAGATAGTCTTTGAGAAGAGTCCTTACAGTCCTGAAAACAAAAGTGCTAAAAGGGCTAGAAATACTAAAGGCATTGGGGAATAGGAGGAGAAGGGGTTGGAGAGGAGGGCACTAGATTTTGATTTTGAGTGTTTAAGGTACTGTGAGACTTTGAAATGGAGACATTAGGCAGGCAGTTAGGAACTTAGTCTTAGATTCTGTACTGGAGCTGGACTTGTAGACACAGATAAGAGACCAGTAAGAAATGGTGATTTTAAACTGTTGAGCTAGATGTAGTTGCCAAGCTAAAACAGAGAAGTCCAAAGACAACCATTGGGAATAGCACCAATTAATGGGTGGGGAAAAGAAAATATGTGAGCCCAAGAGATAAGAGATGAGGAAGAAGAAATTTTAAATCAGTTTACTTAAAGATTAATGTGATGCCAGACTGTGATGGCAGGGAAGTTGGGGATTGACCACTAATGAGTATGAGATTTCTTTTTGAAGTGATGAAAATGTTCTGAAATTAGTGGCGATGTTTGCGCAACCCTGTGAATATAATAAAAACCACCACATTTTACACATTAAAATGGTGAATCTTATGGTAGGTGAAGTATATTTCAATTTTTAAAAAAGATAAATGTGACATGAAGCTTAATACACAAGTGAAATAAGTTTAAACATGGAGGAAGAAAACTTTTACCCTATAAGAGACATCACAGGTTGTTGTTTGTTTGTCTTTGGATAAAGGACATTTGTGCTTTCTGCTGAGGAAGTTCCTAAATTACAGAGAGATCCTCAACAGAATAGTAGATGAAAATAATTTTGTTATGAGACCTTTTCTGGACTTTCTCTTTTGAGTCAGAACATGGTGTTTATTGGGGAGAATAAATGATTAAATTTTTCTACCCATCACATTTTCTTGCATTATTTGCCAGCAAAAACAGTAAATATTTTAATTGTACTTTATAATTTTCAAGGTGCTTTTGTACATGTATATACTAGTATACAAATGGTGCAGGTATTTTTAATGATGTTGATTAAATGTGTATTGGTTGAAAATTGGCTATGTTATAGGATTTTTTTCTTTGATCCCAAATAAAACATTTTTCAGCTTTGGTTAGGTCTTATATGTAAGTAGAGTGAATTTTGCAACCTTAGAATAAGCATATGTTTGTGAATCAGATTCATTTATTGCTGGTACACTTAGTTTTTTGGTGTTACCTGTGAAGACTAAAAATACTGTGTTTACCCCATTCTAAAATTAACCCCTTGTGGATAAAGAAAATGTGCACATATATTATGGAATACTATGTAGCCATAAAAAATAATTAAATCTTGTCCTTTGCAGCAACATAGATGCAGCTGGAGGTGATTATTCTAAGCAAATTAACATAGAAACAGAAAATTGAATACCATATATGTTCTCACTTGTAAGTGGTAGCTAAACACTGGGTGTACATGGGCGTAAGGATGGGAACAACAGACACAGGGACCCCTAAAAAGGGAAGAGCGGGAGTGGGGCTAGGGCTGAAAAACTACCACTTGGGTATCATACTTACTATTACCTGGGTGACAGGCTCAGTGGAAACCCAAGCCAACATACCCATATAAAACCCTGCACATGTACCTCTTGCATCTAAAATGAAAATAAAATAAAATTAACTCCTTGATAAATAACTAGCCTAGTTCCTTCTTTGGTCAACTCTAAATGTTATGGTTTCAACTGGCTATCTCCCCTGAAGCCTCAAATCTAATACAAGCTAACAGACCGGACCAGCAGTTCCTTTGAGGCAGATCAGTTCCTGCAGCAAAGCAGGGCATGTGGGTCCTCTGAGAGCATGGATATTTGGGGTAGGGAGGAAGTGAATTAATTCGTCTGTGAAGGCTAATGTCTGTTCAAACAAAAATTTACTTAGGCCTTTTTTCCTAGATGTTGCAACTATTGCATTTACATGGGCTGGGTTAAAATTGTTCCTGCCTAGGAAATAGTTAGAACTGAATGGAGAAGCCAGAAAATTCTCACTGAATGCTCTTCTCTACAGGAATTGACAGAAGAAGGACTGCCTTTTCTCATACTCTTTCACATGAAAGAAGATACAGAAAGTTTAGAAATATTCCAGAATGAAGTAGCCCGGCAATTAATAAGTGAAAAAGGTAGACAGATTAAGGTGTTTATTTTCATCCTTTTTTCCCCCTCTTTCTCCCTCTGCCCTCCCCTGTTACAGTCATATCCACATAAACAAACCTGGGTTAAAAAAACTTATTTTAATATTTATATTCTGCATAGGCATAAGGGAGCAATAGTAGAGAAATAGCATGAAGTATTGTGGGTTTTTTGCCTTTTGTTTTCTGCACAAAACATGTCTGTTTTAGAGAGCAAAGTCAAATAGCATGAGAAGTAGGGTCATGGGTGAACATTAGTTTTGGGTGCTCTCAGCACCTGATGCTTGTCTGAGTCCCTTTTCAACAGGCATTCTCTATTGGAAAGTATTGCTGAGAGAGCTTACACAGTCTGATTAACATTGATTTCTAAGTGAAAGTAAGTTGTGTAGTTATCTGCAGATGCCTTCAAAGCATCTAAATGAAATTTGAGTTATCACTAGCTTTTCTTCTGTATTAGGGAAGTCAAACAAAATAAACTAAAGGCCTCCTGTAAAACTACCCATTTTAGTCACTTATACTATTAAATAATCAACCAGTAGGGGCTGGAATGGTCTGGAGTGAAGATGGTCCCATGAGTATGGCTCGTGTACCAGTTTCAGGAACTTGCTGCCTACAACCTGGTAACCTGCAAAGCAGATGGTTGCCTATTTAAGGAAAATGAAAAATTCATTATAGCATTTGAATTTGGGTTGAGTTAATATATTAGTAATTTCTAAGGAAAATATACTCTCTGTCCTAAGAGCTAAAAGCCTACCTCTTTTAAGCGTTACAGTATTAAGGTTATAGTTTTTCTAAACTAAATATTAAGAGTTGTTGGGGTGTTTTTTTAGTATGTTGCCTTTGGTGAACTTATAATCTTTTAAGAATATAATCAAGAAAATTCTAATCTACCTCTCCAAATTCTATTTCCTTTAAAGGTACAATAAACTTTTTACATGCTGATTGTGACAAATTTAGACATCCTCTTTTGCACATACAGAAAACTCCAGCAGATTGCCCTGTAATCGCTATTGACAGCTTTAGGCATATGTATGTGTTTGGAGACTTCAAGGATGTATTGTAAGTATGCATTATGGTATTTTAAAATTACTGACATATGTCTCATTGAACATTAAATAGTTGTTTGAATATGTTAAATAATTCTTTGTTAGAAAATAATAGTTTGATAACTGGATGGAGGAGGTTGAAATAATGACACCTTCTTTTTTCTCTATAGAGTATGGTATACTTGACTATGAGAATTATGATACATCTCTGTAGAAATAGCAACATTAGGTGATTGAGACTGAGGATGAATGCCTGGCTGATTGGTAATTAAAGTTTAGGAATTAATCTCTCAAAGAAATTTCTGTCTTATGAGAAATTAGCTCTTCATCGAGTTTGGTCTTTGCCAACACATCGAGGGAGAAATAATCTCAGGTTGAGTTAAGGGAAATTGATAATATTGCTATTAGAGTATTTATATTAGTGTATTTTTGAATTTTGCTATTACTAAGAATTTCTAATGAAGTAAAGCTATGCACCTTTCCTAGAATAAGTAAGCTTTTTTACTCTATTCTCAGAAATTTATAGTATTAATAAATATATAGCCAGGCATGTAGCCTGTTATCTTAGCACCTTGGGAGGCCAAGCTGAGAGGATTGCTTGAGTTCAGGAGTTTGATTCCAGGCTATGCAACATAACAAGATTCCATCTCTACAAAAAAATTTAAAAATGAGGTGGGCATTTCCTATAGTTCTAGCTGCTCAAGAGACTGAAGTGCAAGGATCGTCTGAACCCAGAAGGTTGAGGCTGTGGTGAACTGTGATAGTGCTACTGCTCTCCAGCCTGGGCAATAGAGTGAGACTCTAACTCTAAAACGAAAACAAAAAAAATATATAAACATTGGAACTTCTACATGTATTGAACTTTTACAAGCTTTTTGGGATATTAGGGCCAAGTGTGGTGGCTCAGGTCTGTGATCCTAGCACTTAGCGGAGGCGGAGGTGAGAGGATTGTCAGAGCCCAGGGGTTTGAGACCAGCCTGGATAATTTGGTGAGACCTTGTCTCTACAGTAATTTAAAAAATTAGCAAGACATGGTGGCATGCACCTGTAGTTCCAGCTATTTAGAAAGGTGAGGTGGAAAGATCACCTGAGCCCAGCAGGTCGAGGCTGCAGTAGCCATGATCATACCGCTGTGCTATAGCCTGGACAACAGAGTGAGACTCCGACTCAGAAAAAAAAAAAAAAAGTTTTCTGAGATGTTAAATACAGTGGTTAAAAATGGAGATGTTTCTTAATATATGAAAAATGTAAACATGTTAATTTAGATTATATATTTTAAGTTAAAAATTCATTTAAATGCTCTTTTTGGCTGGGCTTGGTAATTCAGCCTGTATCCCAGCACTTTGGGAGGCCAAGACAAGTGTATTGTCTGAGCCCGCAGGTTCAAGACTAGCCAGGCAACTTGGTGAGACCTCGTCTCTACAATAAACCAAAAATTAGCTGAGCATGGTAGCACATGTCTGTAGTTCTGGCTACTTGGAAGGCTGAGACAGAAGGATCGCCGGAGTCCAGCAGGTCGATGCTGGGGTGGTCTTGGCGACAGAGTGAGACTCCAACTCAAAAAATGAATAAATAAACAAATAAATAAACAAATGCTCTTTTTATCTCAAAAGATTAAATTGCACAGAGGATGAGTTGAAGTCCTGTTGCAGAATGAACTCATTTCTAAATACTTCAGTAGAGATGTGGTTGTTGTGTTAGATTCTCAGTCCTTCCTTTACTAGCAAAAATTGCAAATGAATAAAGAAAAATAATAACAAGAAAATTATCAGTCCTAAAGCTACATAGGAGGCCTAGATTTGAGTCCTTCTCTGGGTAGTTCACTTCTCTGTTCTTGTTTCTTTATATATAAAAAGTGGTTGATGGTACCATCTACCCAATGGGATTGTTATAAAAATGAATGAGATAATAATTATGTTATAAACCATAACACAGTAACAAATCTTAGTAGTCCTTACTTTACCTATGCTCAAAAGGATACAATTTAACCTACTAATTTATTAAATATCTATATAGGTTTTCTATATGACAGTCATTATGCTAGGAACCAAGGGTTTCAAATTTACTAAGCCTGGCTTCTACCCTCAAAGAACTCATAAACAAGTAGAAGAAAGAGACAAGCAGGTTAACAGACAATTATGTTTTATGATGGGATAAGTGCTCTGACAGAGATCGACAGAGGAATACCTGATCCAGAGTTTCTGGAGATATTGATGCCTATGGTAAGTCCTAAAATATTGCAGAAGTTTACCCTGGATGTGAGGAGGAGACAGGGCTTAAAGAAAAGGGATATTGGTAACAACAAGCTTAAGGGCTGTTGGGGAATATGAGTGAAAGCGGGGATGCTGAGGGATGAGGTCAAGAGAACTAGCTCAGGAGAGTCTTTATATGCTATGTGAAGAAATTCTGACTTTATCCTGAAAACCATGAAGAGCTAATAAAGGTTTTAATCAGGAGAGTGACATAATCAGATTATTTTTTAAAGATTACTCTGTCTACATTTTGAGAGTAGATTCTAGAGGGTCAAAATAAAATCTAGGAGACTGTTCAGTAATCCAGGCAAGAGTTGATTAGAGAGGTTAATCTCAGTGAACCTCAGCAAGATGAAAGAATAGGACTTTCCATGCTCCTCCCCACATAGATACATCAATTTGAACATTTATGCATGAAAATACCTTCACAAGGAAGCCAGGTCAGAGAATACAACACTGGATATAGCATAGAAATAAGAAAAGATGTATTGAAGAGGCTAGAAAGGGCAGTTTTACATTACTCACACCACCCCTCCCCAACCCCAGGCAGTATAATATGGAGAGAGATACTCTTTGTGTGTGGAGAGGAGAAGGAGGTGAGCACTGGCCTTTTCCTCAGACCCTGATACTTGACTTTCCCCAGTAAAACCTAGTACTAGGAAGTCTCTCACTGCCTCAGACTCCAGGCTGAGCCTCTAGGCCCAACATAGTACTGGATTAGATCTCGATGCTCTAGGGTAGATCCCAAAGTCCCAAGCTCCAGACCAGCTCAGTGGATTTGGTCTCTGGATCTATTCTGTAAGTACCCACATTGCTAATCATCAGGCTAGCACCCACAGACCCAGGGTCTAGGCTTACACCCAATGATGAACCAGCCCCCATAGATCCAGACTCCAAGACCACTTCTGTGTGCTAAGTTTCAGGGAGGTCCTAGGATCCATGCCAGCCCTTGCAGACCTCCAGGTCAGCACCTCCATACTCAGCTTTCAGGCCATTACTAGTGGACTCAGATTCTAGGCTGGTCCCCACAGCTCCATGTTCCAGGCCAGCCTCAGTGGCTTCAGGCACTAGACCAGCTCCCACAGGCTCAGATTCCACAACTGCCCCAGCACTTAGGTCAGCTCCAGGCTCCAGAAAACCCAAGGTCCAGGCCTATTCCAGCAGCCTCAGTATCCAAGCCTACCTCAATAGACCCTCAATAGGGCCAGCCCCCATGGACAGAGATCCTAGGACCATCCCTGCAGAGCTAGGCTCCAGGCCAGCTCCTGTGGACACAGGACCCAGACCCACCCCCATAGACTCAGGCTCCAGGCCAGCCCCTGTGGATCTATGCCTCAGGCTGGCCCCCATGGATACAGGCCCCAGGTCCACCCGCTCAGACCCGGGCCCATGCCCACAGAACCAGTTAACAGGCCCAACCCCGTGGACCCAGGTGCCAGGCCAGCCTAAGTGAGGACTTCCAACAGCAAGCCCACCTATGGACATGCCGGATGGCCAGACTAGAATCCCTGGATGCACTGACTGGCGAAGGACTTTCCCAGACAAAGCCAGTCAGCAAAGACTGAAATAAGATCCCACATCTTCAAATGTAGAGATGTCTGTGTACAGCAACAAGAAACATGAAAAATCAAGGAGATACAACACCACCAAAAAAAGATAACAGTCTTCCAGAAGCTGACCTTCCCCCTACCACATGGACATATAAGAATTGCCTGAGAAAGGGTTCAAAATAATTGTTTTGAGGAAGATTAGTGAACTTCAAGAAAGTACAGAAAAACAAGTCAATGAAGTCAGGAAAACATTAAGTGACCAAAATAAGGAATTTAACAGAGAGATTGCAATTATATATTTTTTTAAAAAATCAAACAAATTCTGGAGCTGAAAAACATAATGAATGAAATGAAAAATGCAATAGAATACATCACCAGCAGAACTGAACAAGCAAAAAATCTGTAAACCCGAATATGGGTTATTTGAAAACATACAGAGGAGAAAAAAGAATTTTAAAAAATGAAAAATGCTTACAGAGTTTATGGGATGTATCAAAAGAAGAATAAACTAAGCCAAAATTTAGTAGAAGGGAGGAAATAATAAAGATCAGAGCAGAAATAAATGAAATAGAGACTAGAAAACAACACAAAAGATTAACGGAACCAAGAGTTGTTTTTTTTGAAAATAAACAAAATTGAAAAATCTTAAGCTAGAGTAAGAAAAGAGAAGATTCAAATACATAAAATCAGAAATAGAAGAGAAGATATTATAACAAATACAGAGAATACACAGAAATGTAAAGAATAAGAGACAAATAATATGAACACTTATGTGTAACCAAATTGATAACACAATTGTTATGACAAAATGGACAAATACTTAGACACATAAAACATACCAAGCCTGACTCTGAAGAAATAGAAAATCTGAATAACAAGTAAGGAGACTGAGTCAGTATCAAAAAGGTGCTCCCATCAAAAAGCCCAGGACCTGATGACTTCACTGCTCAATTCTACCAAACATTTAAAGAATAACTAATACCAGTCCTTCTCAACCTCCACCAATAATTGAAAAAGGTAGAACACTTTTAAACGCATTTTGTGAGGGCAGCATTACCCTGATACCAAAGCCAGACTAGGATACCAAAAGAAAAGAAAATTATAGGGTAATATCCTTGGTGAACATAGATGCAAAAATCCTCAACACATAGTAGCAAACTAGAGAGCCTAGATAGAAATCTACACATATTTGGTCAGTTTATTTTTGACAA